ATTAAAAAGAGGCTGTGGATGTAGCTCAGTGCAAAAAGTTTTGGACATATGCACACAAGAAAATAAAATATTCAGGGAGCTGTTAACTCTGGAAAAGGAGATAGAATCATCTTTTTCTCACACCAGAAGGTAAGAGGTACAAGAGCTTATAACTGTATTTTGTTTGTCTTTTGAGGTTGGGTCTCATTGGCCTTGAACTCACTGTATAGCCCAGGCTAGCCTTTAACAAGAGGTTATCCCACTTGGGATGTTGAGGTAGGAAGATCAAAAGTAAAGGGAAAAAAAAAGTAAAAGGCCAGTCTAGGCTACACAGTGAAATCCTATCTTCTATTTATTTTTTCCTTCTACTTTTTTTTTCAAAACTGGGTATTGAACTCAGGCCCTTGCCCTTGCCAGGCAAGCAAATATTCTACTGAGCCATCTCCCTGGCCCTCCTATCTTTTAAAAAAAGGGTAGGTCACTCTGTGGTAGAGCACTTGTCTAGTATGTGCGAACTCCTGGGTTCAATTCCCACTATTGGAAAAATAAAATAAAATGAACAAAGCTCAAAGTAACATTTTTTAAAAAGTGTAGAATCCTTTGAAGTTGTTGCAAGAAGTTGAAAGACAGCCCCTTCCCTCGTCCCAGGCATCTGGGGTCTGCTCTGTTCCTGTCTCAGTCTGGGATGCGGTGGGGAGGAAAAAGATGGGAGGGCAGGCCTTGCTCGGCGCCAGGGCTGCATTGCATTTGCGAAATGGAGATGTGTTTCGAGATAAAGAGCTCCATTCAGAACCACCCACCACACTGCTGACGTCCCGGCGGGCCAGATAGCATCTTTAATATCCGGGGGGAAGTAAATTCCTGCCTGACTGCCCAGCTGCCTGCACTCACCATCACCGAGGTCACCATAGAGCTGCTGCCCAGCCGACAGAGGAAGGGGTCCTCGGCCGAGCGAGCATCTCCTCCACTTTGCTCTGCATCCCCAAAGCATCCCCCTCTGCATCCCCAAAGCACCTGCGTTCCTGGGTTTATGGATGGCTCCTACGGGGTTGTGCACCGGGGACAGGAGCTACGAAGCTGGCATGGACATCACCCTAACAGAGTGAGCACACAGACAGATTGGAAAGCAAATCATCACTCTGTCATAGAGGAAATGGAGCCTCAGGAGTAAAGACAGAAAGATAAATTCCGCCAAGGTGGGAGGCCTGGGGTTTCCCAGAGGAAATGAGTTTTGTTTCCTTGAAAATAAAATTAATATGTTTTCTTATTGCAGAAGTGATATGTTTGTTACAGAAAAATATGGGGAAAGCATATTAAAATATTTTTCATAGCTAGGAAAGGTGGTACATGCCTGTAACCCCAGCTACTCAGGAGGCTGATGCACAAAGATTGAAAGTTTGAGGCTACCCTGGGCAATGTAGCAAAATATTGAGTCAAGAAAGAACACTTTTCTCATCACTCAAACAATCATAATTAACCTTTCGTGTTTCTCAAAGGATTCATATTGAATTTACTTTTTAAATTCAGAGGGTATTGAGGTTATATTGCTTAAACTGTGGGGTGAGTACCTCAGCACTTTTATTCTTTACAATGTTATAAACAAGTGTATCAGGGCCGGGGAGATGGCTCAGTGGAATAAGCGCTTCCCTGGCAATCACAAGGGCTTGAGTTCAATCCCCAGTTCCACCAAAGGAAAAAAAAAAAAAAAAGACCATAAGTGTATCATGTATGTAAAACAGCTCATAATGAAGATAAGCTCATAATGGGATCTAGTCAAGGATCTGGGGAGCACTAATCTAGATATTTCCTGTCAATACTATATATAGGGAAATGAAACTCCCAACCTGAAAGGTACCTGGGATGAGCTTGTGTTCTCTAAAATCGAAGAATGAATTTTAGGAACAAATGGAGGCTAAGAGCAAAATGTATTTACTGGGGGAAAGAAGGGGAACCCGAGAGGATTGCCTCAAGAAGCTGTCTCTTCCAATGATTTTTATAGAGTAAAACCATGTGGTGAGCCATGTGTAAGGTGGTGAAAAAAGGAACTCCCTTAGGTGGGCATAAGGTGGGACAAAATTGGTCAACCAGAGATTACAAGCACCATTGCTCAGGTAAAATTGATTAAATCAGGATCAAATGGGGAAGGGAGTCACATAACAAGCAGTCACAAATATGGCACTGGGTCTCTTCCTGTTGGGGGCTGGGTTAGTGACTCATTTGGGCTTTTTCAGGGTGATTGATACCTATTTAAAATATCAATTCCTGGGCTGGTGAGATGGCTCAGTGATCTAAAGCACCTACTTAGAACAAGCTTAGCAAAGCACAGGGATTGTGGTTCAATCCCCCAGCACCACATGCCAGCCAGCCCTGCCCCTGGTGGGCTGAGCTGGACACACACACACACACAAATAAATTTAAAAAATAAAATATCAATTCCTGATGCCCATTCCTAAGGAAGTATGTTGCTGCATTTGTTCACTCTTTTGTCTGGAGGTCTGGCCTATATTAGGAGTGTCTGTCTCTTTTTTTTTTTTTTTTTTTTTTTTTTTTTGGCAGAACCAGGGATTGAACTTAGGCCCTTGTGCTTGCCAGGGAAGTGCTTATTCCACTGAGCCATCTCCCTGGCCCTGTCTCTTCTAAAGTTGCAAAGTCACCTTGTCTTTCATATTGTCTCCTTGAGGGTCTGGCCCTGTCTGACTGCCTATAATATTTCTATCTAACTCAGCTGCCTACAACACTAGGACTCCCTCCACTTCAATTTTTTGATTTTTTAAAAAATTTAATACAGGCTCTACAGAGTCTCACTACACACATTGTATTTGTAGTGATTCTCCTGTTTTCAGCCTCACAAGTGCTGGGACTACAGGTGGGTGCTGCCATGCCCAGTGTCAATCACTGTCTCAGGAGGCTTTGGGGGCGGGGCTGGCACAGCACGCCAGGGATTGAACCCGCTCCCTGCATCTGCCTAAACAGGCGCTTTAATCCCACCCCAATTATATATATATATGTATATATATATATGTTAGGAATTTCTAAAAATTGACACAATTGAACATATTTATGGGATGTAATGTGATAAATTAATTTCTTTTGTTGTTTTTGAGACAGTCTCACCATGTAATTTATTTTTTTTTATTTATTTATTTTTTATTTATTGTGTGTGTGTGTGTGTGTGTGTGTGTGGCCAGCTCAGCCCACCAGGGGGCAGGGCTGGCTGGCATGGGTGCTGGGGGATTGAACCGCGGTCTCTGTGCTTTGCTAAGCTTGTTCTAAGTAGGTGCTTTAGACCACTGAGCCATCTCACCAGCCCCCTCACCATGTAATTTATTATTTTAATTTTTTTTTTTTTTGGAACCGGGGATTGAACTTAGGCCCTTGTGCTTGCCAGGGAAGTGCTTATTCTACTGAGCTATCTCCCTGGCCCATGTAGTTTAGACTGGTTTTGAATGTACTGTATAACCCAGGCTGGCCTCTTGGCTTAGTCTCTGGGTGCTGGGATTATAGCTGTGTGTCACATCTGATGCATTAGTTTTTTTCTTTTTCTCCAGTTCTAACTGATTGAATCCGGGACCTTTTTTTTTTTTTTAACATTTATTATTAGTGTGTGTGTGTGTGTGTGTGTGTGTGTGTGTGTAGCCAGCTCAGCCCACCTGGGGGCGGGGCTGGCTGGCATGTGGCGCTGGGGGATTGAACCACAATCCCTGTGCTTTGCTAAACTTGTTTTTAGTAGGTGCTTTAGACCACTGAGCCATCTCACCAGCCCATGAATCCAGGGCCTTCTGACTGCTAGGAAAGTGCTTTACAATGAGATACATCGCCTTCGATTTCACTTTAGGACAAGGATTGCTGAATTGTCTAGGCTTGTTTGTGCCTTTTCCTGTCTTAGCCTTTCGAGTAGCTAGGATTACAGGAGTTAATATCCAGCCCCACCTGACCAATTTTTTGGTTCTGTGTGTATCTACAGTTGGAGGGGTTTAGAGGAAAGCTGCTGGGATGGCACCGAAAGCTCCTCGCCCCACCCTGAGCTATACAACCCTGCGACCCACCTGTGTCAGCCTCGGAAAGTAGCTGCAGGGACCTTTTGTGGCTAATCATGTATGTGTTCTCCCTGATCTGCCCAAGGCGCTGTTATCAGGATCAGTGGGCTGTTCGTGTGAAAGATCCTAACACTCTTAACTCAAGCCAAAATGAAATCTGAGCTGAGCTAGTGTTCAGAAACGTGGGGGCCTGGGCTGTTCGGGAGAGAAGCGGCGTCTGCCAGCGGAAGTGCGAGGGCAGGCCTGAGCGACGCTGAGCACCTTGGGCGCAGAGGACTGGCGCGCCTCGAGGGAACTGAACACGTCGCGGCCGATCAGGTCGTTGGCGCTTCCGGAAGCCCGGATCTTTTCCCGCCCTCTGCTGACTCCGCCCCTGGGCGGTGCTTTGAACCCTCAGCAACGCGCTGGAGGCAGGGCTCGGTGAGGTCATCTCCCTGCGCTCTCCTGCCTGAGGGGGTGGCGCTGTTCAATCGACGTCACGGTCATTGACAGCGTGGGGCAGTGGCGGTTCTGCTGCCATGGTGGCCTTTGGCAGGGTAAGGGTAGGAGCTAACCTGCTGCCGGACTAGGGCGGCTTCGGGGTCCGGTCGTGAGGGAAGGAGACTGCAGCCAGTACAGCGAGTTTGTTGTCTGTAGCGTGGTGAGGCCGAACGTGGGAAAGGTTCGGAAGCAGACTTTGCTCTGGACGCGGGTGTGTGGGAGCATGGGGTTTGGGAAGAGGCGCGGTGGTCGGGGCCAGGGGTTGGCACAACGTGAAGGTCCAGATTGGGGTACGACTCGTAGGAGCCCTGGGTGTGGCAGGCGGCGGTGCCCCGCGTGGGTGCCCCGGGCTCACGCGTCTCCCTGGCTCCACGGCTGCAGGTGCATCATGTCTAGATTGGGGGCCCTGGGCGGCGCCCGCGCTGGGCTGGGGCTGCTGCTGGGCACCGCCGCCGGCCTCGGGTTCCTGTGCGTCCTCTACAGCCAGCGATGGAAACGGACCCAGCGCCGTAGTCGCAGCCAGAGCCTGCCCAGTTTCTCGGACTACGAGCAGGCTTCAGAGCCCGGACGCCAGGGTAGGAGGCTGATTGATGGGCCTGGGGTCGGGCTGCCTTTGGCCGACCCTGTGGGACAGGGTGTCTTTCTTTGGAAAACTTACTGAAAAGAAAAAAAAAAGTTTTAATTTTCTGTATTTTTACCTATAATCCCAGGAAAGTGCAGTATATTGGGAAGCCTGTTCAGCTTTCACTTTTGATTCTGACCACAGTAATGCTATGAATGTATTAAAGCCATCTGCCTAGAGTTGAGTAAAGGCTGCAATTAGGGGAACAGTCCAAAAGAAGGAAAAAAAAATTCTTGTAGGAGTGAAAAGTCTTGAGGTTTATGTATTAAATTACATATGAAAATTTGAAGGGAACTTGAAGACTAATCCAAGCCGTACATCCCTCTTCTGAAGAAATATTCAGGAAGATTGTGTGCATTTCCCGAGGTTGTCATAGTGTAAGTGGCACAGTTGGGCCTAGTCACCTGGCCCAGGCACTTTCCACAGCACCAGCTGTGAGCACTCATGTCACTTAAGCTGAATGTGGCTGGCAGCCAGCAGCCACAGCTGAAATGACTTGTGCATTGTTTTTGTGGGTTTTTTTTTTTCCAAAATCTTCATGTTAATTCATTGAAACAAAGGCTACTCCCGTTTTTGTTTGCTGGAGGATCATTTAGATTACCTCATAGCAATTGGAAGTTAATATTTTCTCAGACTACCAGTGTCAGATGATTTGGAAAACTTAGCTGTGGAAGAGGCCTCCAAGTTACCACTGTGGATTGTGGCTAATGGTCAGCACTTGATAACATGGTGCTTATGTGTTTTCATTTTTAATGTCATTTTTTATTATGTGTTTGTAATACACATTGTTTACATTCCTTGTGGGGAACTGGTACATGTACTTTCCCTCCCTTTTGTTAATTTGTTTTGTAATTTCTTAGCAGTCGGCTGCCTAATGCTGAGGTCGGGACAAAGCGGCCACATTCCCAAGGCTCGCTGCTGTTCTACATATTCCAACACTGCGAGATACATACTGTAATCTGTCCTAGATTCCCTTTAACAAGGGATTTGTGCTTGCCCATTCTGTCCTGGCTTCCTGCTTTCTTTCCTGTTTTTACATTTTCTAGTCCTAGTTGCTTTAACTCTCTCACACTACTAGCGTTTCACTGTTGGCATTCACCTGGAGCTCGGCTCAGGGCTGGGTTGGAGGGGCTTGGTAATGGTGTTTTCCTGGCAGTGTGGATAGGTTTTTTCCAGTGTGCTCATTCTTGGAACTGGCTTCTCTCTTTACCCCCTTGAGAATACTAAACGAAGTTCTCAAAAGAAGTGGAATTTTCTTTATTATTTGGAAAGTGAGAGAGCAGAGTGAGTTGAGTTTTAGTTTTGCTGTGCAGTTAGTACTGGCTCCCTGCATTTGGCATTGAGGTCAAGTACCCATTTTTCTTTTACTGTAGCAGCTGACCTGTTTTCTAGGTACCGCACCCTTGCAAACAGTTTATCTGCTGTGAACAGCAGTTTGGAAGAGCCCTGGTGTGAAAGAGCAGAGGACTCTTGGCTTGAGATTGGAACCTTAGTTTTTTCTGAGTAGCTTCTGAGACTTGTCACCATGACTAGCTGTGAACATGCCCTATCTGAGCTTCAAAGTCTTCTTCATAAGTTGAACTCCAATGAAAAGCAAGTGTTCTGAGACTCCAGCGAGACCTTTACTCATGCTTGCCCTTGGGTGTCCCTGTCTCCTTCCTTCCTTCAGTGACTCTGTTTCGGGCTGTGCCAGGCGAGGCTGGAGATGCGGTGGTGCTGCCCAGCCTTCCGCAGGCAGGGCAGGAGAAGGTGCTGGACCGCCTGGACTTCGTCTTGAGCAGTCTTGCAGCTCTGCGGCGGGAGGTGGAGGAGCTGAGGAACAGCCTGCGGGGACTTGCTGGGGAGATTGTTGGGGAGGTGCGGTGAGTAAGCAGCCCCTCTCCTGCTTTGTCACCCTCCTTCCACTTCTCTATCTCCTCAGCTTTTTTAGCTGTGGTGTGTTCTGGCTTTGGTTTTTGTCTCTAGGAAGCCAAATTTTTAGCTTCCTACCTAATTGGGGATCAAGGCAGGTAACCAATTGGCTCCTTACTGGGGTCAAGTTCCTTGCTGCCTTGCAGCTGAAATTCTCTAGTTCTCAGCCTACTCTGTTGTGCAGGCTAGGCCAGGGGCTGCTTTTCTTACTCTGAGGATAGAGCCCCAGGTTTTATTCTGCTTGTGGCTTTTGAATTGGGAAAAGTCATAGTGAGGGGAAAGACAGGCTGGATGAGGCCTAACAGTCCATCTGGAGTGGGATCTGCTTTCCAGGTCCCACTTGGAAGAGAACCAGCGTGTGGCTCGGCGACGAAGGTTTCCATTTGCACGGGAGAGGAGTGACTCCACAGGTTCCAGCTCTGTGTACTTCACTGCCTCATCAGGAGCCGTGTTCACAGATGCAGAGAGTGAAGGCGGGTAAGTCTTCTCTCCTGGAGGCAATTTTGAGTTTTGTGATAGGTCCTACTTAGCAATGGGAATTTAAACCAAGTTGCTGTGAGGGTATGAATAACTCAGACAACAGTTAGAAGAGAAATCACATGCAGTTTATGCCGTTCAGACAAATGGAAATGCTCCCAGTGGTTATTGCATCTGTTATTTTCCTGAGTCAGTTTGGTTTTCACATAATATGTTTTGATTAGTTTGGGAATTGCCCAGTGGCCTCACAGGGACTTGGTAAGCATCATTTTGTCAGTTTGCTCCTTTCCACGAGGGGCTGAGCTGTGTGAAGACACTGAAGCTGCCACATGCTCCGTCGGGGGAGCTGCCCTCTTCTCATGGGGCTCTGCGCTCCAGCACTTGCACCTGTGCTATCCACTGAGCTCTTTGGCCAGTTGGACTCAAACTTGTAATCCTCCTACTCCATTCTTCCAAGCTGTTGGGATTACAGGCATGTATTACATACTGCCTCAGGTGTATTTTATTATTTTACTTTATTTATTTATTTTTGGTCTTCTTGAGACAGCGTCTCACTTTGCAATTCGGGCTGACTTTGTGCTCACTTTGTAGCCCAGGTTGGTCTTGAATGCGAAATGATCCTCCTGCCTCACTCTCCCAAGTGCTGGGATTACAGGTGTGCACCACCATGCCTGGCATGGGTCTTTTCATTTTAAACCACTGGCACTATTTTGAAACTGATGCTGTTGGGGGCCAGGGAGATGGCTCAGTAGGATAAGTGCTTGACTGGCAAACACAAGGATCTGAGTTCAATACCCAGTTCTGCAAAAAAAAAAAAAAAAAAAGAAAGAAACTGATGCTGTTACCTACAGCTATGTCTCGTTATCCAGGTGGCCCACATGGTGCCTTCTGCTGGCAATTTTTCCTCCTCAAGGAGATGAGTTTAGACAACAGCCAAGCTCTTGCCAGGTCAGTGACTGACTTAGCTATCAACATGCACATGAAAACGAGAAGTTAAATCCGGCCATGTAGGGTAGTCTTTGCAGACTGGCCCTTGTTAGCTGAAACACCTTATGACACCAGCTTTAATTTCTTCTTTACTTCCTCTGACAGACATTAGGCTAAGCACTTAGAGGTATTTATTTCCTTGTATAATCCTCTTAACAGTCCTCAGATGAAGTTGAGGCCCAGCAAAAGGTTGTAAGGTGAATTTAGCCTGTCTGATTTGACCGCAGGGCCTTGGGGTCTGTGATCTGAGGAATGGCTTGGTCATCAGGGCAGCCAGGGCTTTCCTAGGAAGGCTCAGCCTGTAACCTTTGCGGTTTTCCTATTGACGAAGTTGCCACAGCTTCACCCAGGCAAGGCCTTTGGCCTGAGTGGCACAGCATGTTCTGTACATTGCCCTTGAGCAACTTCAGCTTTATCATTTGCACTATTATATTTTTCTTGCCTATTTCTATTTGCTTTTGTAAGAAAATTAAAAGTGGGGGCCAGGGAGATGGCTCAATAGAATAAGTGCTTCTCTGGCAAGCGCAAGGGCCTGAGTTCAATCCCTGGTTCTGGAAAAAAAAAAAAAAAGAAAATTAAGGGTAAAGAACTCTTATTTTCCTGGTTAATACCACTGTCACTAATGCTGAATTGCATTACTGCCCAGGTGCCTCTTGAAGCAAGTGAAGTTTTTATGTTTTGGTGCCAGGGCTGAACGTAGGGTCTTACGCTAAATGTAGGTCTGCTGCAGGGTTCTATTTCCAGCCAAAAAATGAAGTCTTGATGCAGAGCCCTAGTCTGTTCTGAACTTCAGGACGACTACTGCCTGGGTTGTCTGATCTTACCATCTGTATTCTCAAGGGTTAGCAGGAGTGACCTATTGCTATTCAGTTCACCTAATTGTTTTGAGCAAAGAGACGCTTCCATAGACTTTGGTTTTTGAGACAAGATCCCAGGCTGGCCTTAAACTTATGAACTTCTTTTTTATTTTATTTTATTTTATTTATATTTGTGTGTGTGTGTGTGTGTGTGTGTGTGGCCAGCTCAGCCCACCAGGGGGCGGAGCTGGCTGTCATGTGGTGCTGGGGGATTGAACCGTGGTCCCTGTGCTTTGCTAAGCCTGCTCTAAGTAGGTGCTCTAGACCACTGAGCCATCTCACCAGCCCCAAACTTATGAACTTCTTGTCTCAGCCTCCTGAGCGCTGCAATTACAGGGACCTGGCTCCACACCTAGCTGGGATGAAGCAGCTGGTAGTGGGCCCTGAGACCTAACAAACACATTTGTGCCAACCCAAGGAAGCAGGTCCCTTGGGGAAAGAATTGTTTTGAACTTTGTAAGGGGAAGGAACAAGACAGATTACAGTTCTTTTTTTTTTTTTTTTTTTTTTTGGTGGAACTGGGCATTGAACTCAGGCCGTTGAGATTGGCAGGGAAACACTTATTCTACTGAGCCATCTCCCCAGCCCCCAGATTACAGTTCTGCCCATGGTGAGATGTATATTTTTAGGTCCTTGATTTAAGGAATTTGTACAAATTTTGGGGGTCAGTGGGAACCAGAATGGTTAACCAGGGAAACTTGTGGGTACTCCACTCCTTGGAACACCCAAGGCCATAGGAACAGGGCAGGGCTGCCAGCCACCTGCCATGGGCAAGGGGTCAGATGGTTTTCTTAATTAGCTCCAGCAGGTCTGGCCTCATGCCCACTCCTGCAGCACGTGAAAACTGGTGGTGATGTAAGACTCTGGCTGAGCTGGCTACTGTCCGGGGCAGTGGCCATGGTAGGTGCCATTTAGGTCACAGGGAAATTGGAAGGAGCCCACAAACTTGGAAATGGCTTTGCACACATGGGGCTTGGGAAGGAGTTTCTTTGAGGGTGAAGTAATGAGATTCAGTGGCTCCTTTATTCTGCTGAAAGTTCTGTTTACTTTCTGAATTTGTAACTGCTTGGAGACCGACTGGCAGAGGTAAGGTGCCTGCCTACTCCTCTCTGAATGCCCTGGGCTTAGCCCTCAAATAGAGTTTAGGAGTTGAAACTTATTTGCCAGGTGTCTTAGTTACTGTTTACTTGTTGCTGGAACAAATACTTGACAGTCAAAATGAAGGAAGGAAAGGTTTATTTAGCTCACAGTTACTGGGGGGTTCAGTCCATATTCCGCTGGCTCCAAAGCAAACGACAGCAGTTCCTGTGGCAGAAAACAAGAGCAGAGGAGCAGCAGCAGCTGCGGTGTTGCTCAAGCCTCTCTCTTCCTTCTACTGCGAAGACTGGCACTCCATGGCAATCATAGCTCTTCCAAAGTGGCATGGCTGCAAAGATCAAGCTCTTTGGAAGACTGGGACTTCTCCACGGAAGCTGGGCGGGGTGGCAGGAAGTTGGGCAGGGTGGCAGGAAGCCTTTCTCAATTCCTGGGCCCTGCTGCCCACCTGCAGGGCTAGGCCCCCATGCTGAGAACCGGAGGAGCTGATCCAGCCAAACTGACACAATGTGTTAACTAACACACCAGAAGAGAACATGTGTCATAGAGTCCTTGGTATTTTTCTTTCCCTCTCTCCCTCCCTTCCTCTCCCCCTGTCTACCCCCACTCCCTCTGTCCCCCTCCTCCTTCCCCAGATAGGGTCTCGTATAGTTCAGGCAGATCTCAAACTCATGGCAATCTTCCTGCCTCAGCCCCTCCCAAGTGCTGAGATTACAGGCATGCATCCCTTTTTTTGTTTTTGTTTTTGTTTTTTTGGCAGAACTGGGGATTGAACCCAGGGCTTTGCGCTTGCCAGGGAAGCACTTATTCTAATGAGCCATCTCCCCTGCCTCCTCATCACTCTTGAGTCCTTGATTTCTGATTTCTGGGCTACAGCAGAGTAGCTTTGTCTCTTGCTCACTGTGGGAACAAGATGTCCTTGAATGTTTACATCCAAGGGATGTTCTGTTTGGTTGTTTGCTGAGTAAAGATTAGGCATAGGGCCTCAAGCATGCTAGTTGAGTGCTCTACCATTAAGTCACAATCCCTGCCCTAAAAGATCTCTTCAAAGGTTCTTGTTTGTCCCTGAAGGTCTAGAGCTACCCCATGCTAAGCTTGGTGGCCTGGGGCTGGCAGATAGCTCAGTGGTCTAAGCACCTGCCTGGCAAATGCAAGGACCTGGGTTTGGTGCTGACCTCGGATCCCAGGGTGCACTGTGCAGGCCCTAAAACCAGGCATGGTGGTGCACACCTGTAATCCTAGTGCTGGGGAGGCTGAGACAGAGTTCCAGCTGTGTAGCAAGACCCTGTACCAATAAATAATTGAAAACAAAACAAAAAGCTTGTTGGCCCATGGCTGTAATCTCAGCACTATAAGCAGGAGAATCACAAATTCAATAGTGACTTACTGAGACCCTATCTCGAGAGAATAAAAAAAGGCTGGGATGTAGCTTAATGTGGAGGCCCTGGGTTCAACCCTTTGATCCCACTCCTGCAAGTTACCCTTTTTCTGGTGGATTCCGACAGAGCCGAGGTTAGTGTAGCAGGTAGTAAGAGATAAATGTCGGGTACCAAAAGCACCTGGCTGATGCCCAGCAGCGGGGCTCTAGGTGGGTGAGGTGCAGAGCCACCCTGCCTCTGAGCACTCTCCTGATTCCAACTGCTGGGAGGCAGAACACCTTGGCTCTGGAGCTCCTGGCTCTGCTCTGGTGGGGTGAGCATGTTGTGGCGGTCCTGCCTGGGTGCTCAAGGGACACAGAGACTCCTGACTGCAGCCGGCACTCGGCCCAGCCAGGAATGTGGACTTACATCTCCAGCATGAGAGGCTGCTGCTCTCTGCTGCAGGTGAACTCAGCCCCTTTGCCTGTGAGTCTGGCCAGACAAAAAGGGCCAAGGATGAGTCTTCTCACTTGGCCAGGTTTCTGCCTAAGACTTTGAGCCGGGCTGCTCCTGTGCGGTCTCAGCCATCATAACCACAGCCTCAGCCAGAATCGCTGGGAAATTTGATGTCAGTTTACCTTCTTCCTTAAAATTCCAAAGATTTTATTTATTTATTTATTTTTAGTGGGACCGGGGATTGAACTCAGGCCCTTGCGCTTGCCAGGCAAGCACTTATTCTACTGAGCCATATCCCCAGCCCCTCCAAAGATTTTATTGCAAATTTCTAGGCATGAGATACTAGGATGATCCCTTTCAAAGCAAGGTGAAGGTAGTATGACTTTGAAGTAACACGTAAGTTCTGGTAGCTAGTGTTCCTGGACTCCTATTTTTATTTATTTTTTTATTTAAACATTTATTTATTTATTGTGTGTGTGTGTGTGTGTGTGTGTGTGTGTGGCCAGCTCAGCCCACCAGGGGGTGGGGCTGGCTGGCATGTGGTGCTGGGGGATCGAACCGCGGTCCCTGTGCTTTGCCAAGCTTGTTCCAAGTAGGTGCTTTAGACCACTGAGCCATCTCACCAGCCCAAGGACTCCTATTTTTAGAGACACTGGCAGTCAGCCGGAATGCTTGGACCAGGGCACCGGGTCTGCCACTCACTTGTACCTTCACTGCCCCACTGTTCTCTCTGGGTAAGAAGCCCTTCTCCACAGGGTGTTGCTCAGTTGCCTGGGTGACCTTGAACCAGCATTGATCATCCTGTCTCGGCCTTCCCAGTGCTGGAGATTACAGAAGGTGCCGCTGCATCTGCTTGAGAACTTTTGATTACAATATCCATCCTGATTGTAGGCTCTTTCTGTGTGGGGTTTGTCTCCCTCATCTTTCCTTCATTTGTTTTGCACAGCTATGCTTTCACCCTAGGAAAAGTCTACTGCCAAAAGAAGCTGAGGTCTGTCTTGTACTTCTCCTCAGTCTGGGAAGCTCTCTGGTGTCTGCTTCTGGTCCCTGGAAGCCCTGCCTTCTCCCCTGCCCAGTTCTTGTCGAATTTAATTAGCTGCTGGTGGAGCCAGAGATCAAAAAGAAAGCTGGTCACCTCTTCAATAGGCTCTTCCTGGCCTGTGGCAGCCCTGATATGCCTTCGCTGGGTGCTGTCTCCGTCCTCTTTGTCTCTGGCTCCCAGGTGCAGTGTTCCCCGACTCTCCGATTTCCTCCATGTTCCCTAGGGCTGCTTTGATCGTGGTTGAGCTTTGGCTATTGACTTGGTTCAAAGTACAAGTTTGAGAAAGGCTGGGCATGGTCTTGCACCCCTATAATCCCAGCACTCTGGAGGCTAAGGCAGGAAGATTGCTGCAAGTTTGAGGCCATCCTGGGCTACAAAAGTGAGTTCAAGGCCAGCCTGAACTGCATAGCCAGACCCTGTCTCAAAAAGACCAAAAAAAAAAAAAAAAAAGTTTGAGAAAGAGTGTGGATGTGGCTAGGAGGCTGTGGCTGCAGTGGCTGGCACCCTCCTGTGGTGGCTTATCACGTGATTTTTGGCTAACAAAACAAACCTGATTAACAAACCCTTGGCCTGACGACCAGTGTAACTTAGGTCAGCTCCACTTAATCTTTCAAGGTTATTTTTTTGTTGTTAGGATGGAATTCAGGGTCTGAGGTACATCTACCAATTGAGGTTCTAAACATTTTTTTCAGTTCAGTTCTTGCCCTAAATATTTCCTATGTAGGGGCCGGGGAGATGGCACAAGGGCCTGAGTTCAATCCCTGGTTCCACCAAAAAAAAAAAAAAAAAAAAAATTCCTTTGTATAAAGAGAATGTATGCTCACAGAAGCAATCTTTTGCTTTTTTTGAGATGGTTTTGCTCGTAGTTCAGATAGGCCTCAATGTCTTGGCAATCTCTCTGCCTCAGCCTTTATTTTTTTTGGCGGAACCAGGGATTGAACTCAGTCTTCTACTGAGCCATCTCCCCAGCCCCTGCCTCAGCCTTCGGAGTGCAGGGATCATAGGTGTTTCACTGAAGCAATCTGATATTAAAAAAATAGAAGAAAAACTACCTTCTGTCTGTCAGGTCTACTGGGAACATTATTTCCTCCTACAGGACTGACCCAGGGTCTTTGCACTGAGCTATATCTCCAGTCAGCCCTTTCTTTCCTTTTTGACATAGGGGTCATAGCTTTAATTGCCCACGCTGGATTTGAATTCGATCCTCCTGATTTAGCCTCCTAGTGTTGGGATTTACAGGCGTGGGGCACCACACCTACCTATTGGCAACATTTTGTAAATACCTTTCTAGGCTGTTTTCTGGCAGATTTAGTGGTAGTTAACCAAGGGGTTTTCATATTGACCCTGATAGCTGTGTGGATCATCTTCCCCTCCCTGGCATTTTCCCAGACCATAGTGCCCATAGGAAGCTTTCACTTATTCCCAACCGTAGGACATGGCCAGGCATATCTGAGGCACAGCCCCTCTCTGTGACTGAAGGGTCAGTCCTGCCAGCCTGGAGTGGAGTACTCCCCTTCCCTGACTGTCCCATTTGTTTCTCTGCCAGTTACACAACAGCCAATGCTGAGTCTGACTATGAGCGGGACTCTGACAAGGAGAGTGAGGATGGGGAAGATGTGAGCTGTGAGACAGTAAAGATGGGGAGGAAGGACTCTCTGGACCTGGAGGAGGAAGCAGCTTCGGACCCAGTGTCTGGTGCCCTAGAGGATGCGGGTGAGGATGAGCTGCCCCTCCTGCACCAGGCTGATGAACTGCACCAGGGCAGAGACCAGAGCAAGCGGGAGGGCTTCCAGTTGCTGCTCAATAACAAGCTGGCGGTGAGTTTCTACTTCCTTCCTTCTCTCTTGACCCCTGAAAGGTGAAGGCAGGCCCATGTGTTACTGACAAGGGGGAGGGAAACAAAGCAGACATGATTAAAAAACCCTTGGCCTGATGACCAGTGTAACTTAGGTCAGCTCCACTTGTTACCTTTCATATGCCTGGTTCCAGGGGTCACAGGGTTACATGGCTGGTTCTGTATGTCACCCAGGCTGCATCCTCTTCTGTGGAACCCAGCATGCACCTGGGTACAGCACCTTGGCTGCCCTGAGCTTCCCCTGGGAACCTGAGCTTCCTCTGGGCAGGTGGGCACAATCATCCACCACTCTCAGGGGGAAGTGGGGAAAGGACTGCTGGAAAGATGCCTCCCTTTTTTCCTCGAGGCACTATGTGATGTTTCTGTCAAAAGTGACAACTGTGTAGTCGTTCTACCACAGTTCCTTTTAGGCTGACAATTTATGCTAGGTCTAAATCCTAACCACCCCTATTCTCCCATTAGAATTCTTTTCTTGGGCATTTTCTCCCACAATTCCCCCATGTGCCAGCAGGATGATGCCTTATCTTCTTGGAATTAACTGACTGTCCCTCCTGGCAGTTTTAGGTTGCAATGCTCTGACTTCGGGGACTGTGTCATGAGTGTAGAGAGCCATAAGGGGGAAGGCTGTCTAACAGCTGGCTTCATGACAGTGACTGACACTGGCTGGGAAGTGCTGACCTGTGTTGCGGGGGGAAGGCCAGGGCTCTGTTCTCTGTGGCTTACGAAGAGGTGTCTCATTCTTTTCTGTTGGGTCTGCAGTATGGAAACCGGCAGGACTTTCTTTGGCGCTTGGCTCGGGCCTACAGTGACATGTTTGAGCTCACCGAGGACATGAGCGAGAAGAAGTCCTATGCACTAAATGGTAAGTATTGCCAGGCTCCTGGTGGGAGGAGGACTGATGACAGTTGTCTCATGTATTTGGGGCCCAGGGAACCACAGCCAGGATGCTGGCTTTAGCAACAAAACTGGTTCCCAAGGACCTTTGCTTCCCAAGGACCTCTGAATACAGCCTTGTCTGCTTATCTTCACATGCTGGGTACTGAGTGACCCAGGTACACATGATTATTTAAGGAGTAACGGAGTCACATTAACATGATTCTTTGTTCTCACTCCCCAGCCACAAAGCCTAATTGAAGGTTTTTTGGTTATAGAGTCCATGGGACAGGCACTCTGAGATAGTCAGTGGGAATACATGGGCAGCACCTGACAGAAGCTGCGTAGACCACCACTAGCGTAGAAATCCCTGGTAACCACTGAGCAAGTCTCTGGTCAAAGTCTTTACTCCAGGGCGAAGGTACATCTGACCTGTACCAAGCTTAGGGCTTTGCTTGTCAGGCAGATCCTGTGACTTTAGGAGGCTGATGTGTCCTGCCTAGCCACATACTTGTGTCAGGGGCTGCCAGTGGCCTTCAGGTGTATGGCCAAATTCATCATCTAAATGTAACTATCTCAAGTGGATCTGTCTCCTTTCTCAGCCTTATAAATGCTACTGAGTCTTTGACAATATGAATCTGACAACACCTCAAGGTCTCAAATGTCTTTAACATTTACAGAATTCTGTTGATGGAGAAATACACTGAGTTGAATGCTTATTGGCATACTCTCAAAAAAATCCCTTTAAGCTTTAACAAAAGATGCTTAATTACTATTTATCAGCATAGTTCACTGTTAATATCTACTGCATTCCTGTAGTTTTTCCAGAACTAAAGCCTTTTCCAATTCAGACTTGTGCTTCTTTAGCATTTTTACAATTCTAAATAAGATATGAAGAGGGGCCTGGGAGATAGGTCAGTAGAATAAGCGCTTCCCTGGCAAGCGCAAAGGCCTGAGTTCAATCCCTGGTTCTGCCAAAAAAAAAAAAAAGAACCAAAGATATGAAGAAAACAATTTACTGATCACTTTTTTCAAGTCATTTGTCTATAGCACTAGGGTTATGGAGCTGGTTGTGGTAGTGGTGTATGTACTGGAGAGGCTGGGGCAGGAGGATTGTGAGTTCAGGGCCAGCTTGGGGTACATGGTGAGTTCAAGACCAGACTCAATTATATAGAGATAGTGTCTCAAAAGAACAAAAGCAAACACAGCCCCCAAACATCAAGTGGTATGATTTCCGTTATCTGAATTTGGCAGACTTGAGCACAAAAGGACTTTGGTATCTAAGAGTTGCCTTTCTATTAAAACCAACACAGAACAGACAAAGCCAATAATCATCAGTTGTCTCGCTGTCATCATAAGCTTCTATTATGGTTTGCCACTTCTTGGCCATGGTACATTTTGTTACAGGAAGATTCACAGCTTAGTACTTAGACAGCTTTTGCCCTGGATAGCCTCAGTAATTCTATTTTCTAGGTTTGTCCAACTTCACCATTTGGAGATAAGCAAGGCTTCCTGTGATGCACAATGTTGAAGGTCATTTAATAGAATTTGGGTTCCTTGAGTCTTCATAATCATCATTTCTTACATTGAACATGACTTGTGATTCTGTCACACCAATTTCTCTTAGGAAAAATAGATCAGTCACTTTCTTCTTCCTTTTTGCTATCTTTTATATGTCACTTAAAAAATTTGTTAATTTTTAAAATTGAATCTAAGAGGCTGGCCAGATAGCCCAGCAGACACAGGGACTGGGGGTTTGTCCAGGGCGCACTGAGATGAAGATTGAGACTGGGTGTGGTGGCACGGGCCTATAATCCCAGCGTTTGGGAGGTGAAAAACAGGAGGATCACTATGAGTACAATCTGTGTAGTGAGACATTTTTTT